GTGCAAGACCAAGACCGATTTTGGGCAACACTAATTATATCGAAGGTAGCACGGGCGGATCTAGGGGAGGGGAGGACTTTCGAGCTGAAGCCCCCTCTCCCCAAAATGGAAAAATATAACCATGTTTTATGAGGAAAAAAATTTAAAAAATACCTCTTAAAGCATTATTGTTCGTGTAATTACATTTAAAAGTACTTAAGGAATAACTTTCATATAGGTTTTTATTTTCTTTCTGTTTTTCCAAAGTAATTATCGTTATTTTTATGAAAAAAAAAGGTTTCGGGCTGAAGCCCCCCCCCCCGAAATTAAATCCTGGATCCGCTAGTGGAAGGTAGGCAATAAAAATCTAGTTATTCCATCTGCTTTTATAAACCAAACTTGCTGTAACTTCAGTCACTCAGCCTTTCAGTTGACGGAATGACTAAATCCAATTTTAACATTTTTGAGTAATGTCATTTTAGTGATATTTTAGAAATGATAGGGATATTAAAACCTTTAAAAAGTTAATTTTGCTTATTTAATGCTTATAAAAATTCATTCCATAGTTTCTAAAAATAATTGCACTTTTATACATGCTTTGATAAAGTTATTTCGTGTCTTAAATTCAACTCATTTCACTTCCGATTAACCTAAAATAATAATAATAAAAAACGGTTCTGAAATATATGAGTTGAGCTAATGTGCAAAGCTCTCATTTATTTATTTTAAAAAATAAATAATAACATTGAACATACAATCGCAAATTTCAAGGAGCAAGAAAACGTGGATTTGTCACTGTGGAGTGGCAACACTGCATGTAAGCTCATTATAACCTCATAGTTGTTGTGTTACATATTATAATATTATAATATTCAGTTTACTTTGTATCTATGTTTTCTATGTTTGTTTCTGTTTTTGGATTGAAGAATTCAATAGATAAGTATTTCCTTACATGTGTTTTATCATCTTACAGCAGTGTTATCCTTCCGCTGGAATCCAACAGGTCATTCCTAAACTCAACCTAAACTAACCTTTCCATTGATGGATTCCATCGGTGGATTTTACAAATAATTTTTATCGTAAAAATTATTTACAAAAAATCTTAAGGACCCTTATTTCATAGGATGCCTTTTATTCTTTCAAGAAATTAAAATGATTAAAAAAATATATATATACAATAATATCCTCACAGTAAAACTGAATCCTTCTAGTCAAGTAGCTGATCTTTCTGTGGAGCACTAGTGGATCCAGGATTTAGTTTTGAGAGGGCTTCAGCCCGAAAGATTTTTTTACAAAAATATATAACGATCATTGCTTAAGAAGATAAAGAAAGGAACTAACTACCTTTATTAAATAGAGTTTAAGTGATTCTTTAAGTACTATTAAATGTAATTACAATAATACTTTTAGAAGTAATTTTTTTTTTTTTTTCATTGCCCCTTTCTACTTATTTTTGTCTTTAATCCTTGGATTGTCTTAATAATACTCCTTTTACTACTTAAAAGCATTGTAAGCTGTATTTTTTTTGTCGTTTCTGAGTATTTTGTACTTCATCTGTAATATAACAGGTGATGGGGTCACCTCAGGCTTAAGTTGACCTTATCCTCTAGAGCTTACAACTAAATTAATAAAACTTCTATCTCAAGTGATTTGTTGCCAACTTTTTGGAATTTTCGCTGGTAATAAATTGTTAAAAATAGTGTTTGCCAATTTTTGGAATTTTTCGAAAAATGATTTTTTTTCATTTTGCGAAAAATTCTTTTATTGTTGATAAGTTGAGTGTTGCTTGTATATCCACTGTTTTCTTTCTCTGCAGCGTGGTTCCTCTTAAAATTTTTCTAATTATTAAATAAGTAAATTTTAAATATTTTTTTTTTTAAGACATGTTTATATTTTACCATTTTGGCGGGAAGGAGGGGGGAGCTTCACCCCGAAAGCCCCCACCTCGTATATCCGCCCGTGCTGTGAAGATATTATACAGGTCCCAATTCCGAGCGTTTTCGTAAATAAAATATTTTTAATTGTGGATTGATGATCGACTGTACTGAATAATGGAAGAGAAGAATGGTTGCGATGATCAGTAAAAAAAACAATTAGTAAAAATAAATTTATATTTACTTTTACCAACGTTTCGGCCCAAAGTTCTTCACTTGACCAGCCGCGATGAAAGCATGAAGTTTGGGCCGAAACGTTGGCAAAAATAAATATAATTATATATATATAAAATTATATTTATTTTTGTATAATAAATATTTATATATATAATTATATATATAAATATAATATTTATAAATATATATATATGTATATATATATATATATATATATATATATATTTTTATTTTTTTTTTTTTTTTTTTTTAACTCCCCAACCATTCTTCTCTTCTAAAATACTTTAGCTTACGATGAGATAAAGTTATCTACGAAGTTTCATGCGGATGTTAATAATTTGATAAACAGGGGACTTAATTATTAATTAATCTGACTTTTTTAATTGTACACTGTACCAGGGACTATTGGTAAAATACTTGGGTACCTACATCTAGGCTTTAGTTTAGCCATCTAGTCGACTTTTCGTATTTCCTAAATTGATTTTAGTTACATATTTTATTCATTCGTTTAGATTAATTTTTATTGATTTTGATTTTATATTTGTTCTTCAAAATATAATTGGGGGAGGGATGGACGAAATTCTCACTCAATTTAAATATTTATTGAGGGGGCGGGGAAGCGATCGCCCCCTCCGAAATCTGCACCTATGTATTATATAGTTTTATTAATCCAACCAGGTGTGAAATTTCACTGATCATTCATTCCTTATGCCGCCTGACGATCTGAAGCCATTATAGTTTTTATGTCAAGGATGGTTGAATGTGACTTTTAATTAGTAAAACCAAGACGACCAAGAAAATATTAGCCACCAAGGATAGGTAGCAAGTTCCTTAATCAAATTCTCATTTGGAGACTTACTTGTAGTTTTTCATTTTACTCCTCGTCATGACCTTGTTCCTCTTCCTCGTCATCAGTACTGGTGATGATCGTTCATTGGGCAGAATTCTGGCTCCATTTACTCATTGATTGAGCGACGTTACTTCATTATTTATTTTTTGTTGCGGATGGGGAGAGAGGAAGAAACACGAAATTTTCTATTATTCTATTAGCTAGAATAAAATTCATTTTTGAAAACCAACAAAGTAGATTTTTCTTATTTCTAAAAATAAACAGAACCTCAAAAGTCCGTTGTTTCATGTGCATGTATATATGAGATTAAAAGCCTACTGCTGAGAGATCTCAATGCCAAAGATGGAGGGTTTGGCTGACAGAAAGAAGCACTAACATAAGTTACAAGATCTGAAGGGAACTACTTTAAATCTTGACATCGATTCTATTTTCATAATTAGCGCCTCCATTAACCAAAGAATAAACTAATATTGAAGAAATTGGATAAGTTAAAATAAAGCACAACTACTATGTATATGACATAATCTGAACTTGTGTCAGAAAATAATTTCTGTTAAAAGTAGGAAGGAAAATGAAAATTGTGTGATGTGGGCGCCAGATTTTTTTACTTTTCTTTTTTCTTTCTCTTTCACCACCTTCTTTCTGTACAAGTTTTTATATAAATTTGTTCATAGAATATATGTTTTTCACTTAATGCGCAGCCACTATTGCGCAGGAACACCCGATTTGTGTCATAGGCAGTGATCAAAATCCTACAAAACAATGAAAGAAGCAACAAAATCGGCTTACCAGTTTCCGAGATAATCTTGGCACAGACAGAAAGACAGACCAATGACTGAAAATGTGTTTTTCGGGCTTACTCTAGTATAGGTAGGAAGGTAAAAAGGCAAGACATATAAGAAAAATCATTGTAATTACAAGACAGGTTTAACTTTAACAATTGTTTCCTTTGTACGTTTTAATTATTGTCGTCTTGAGACAGGGTGATACCTGTACAGGGGTCCGTTCTGTTTAATCTAGCTCTGGAAGTTGCTATTCGTTTTAATTATAACAAGTCCTGGAGGAACCATCTACAATCGTTTGTCTCAACATATTGCATATGCCGATGATGTCACACCTCTGGAACCCAAGCAGCATTTTCAGGAAAATTCTAGGAATTCGAAAGGCAGCGGCTAAACTGGGTCTTAAAGTTAATGGTAATGAAGCGGTTTATATGAAAAGTTCCAGGAAGTTAATAGTAAAGTAACTCTCAGACATGACAGCTTAAGTACAGGAGAAGCCTGGTTATATCCGTTAACAAAATAGAGAAAGAAATAAAGGCCAGGATACCAGCAGGGAATAGATAGTATTTCTCATTTACAAAACCATAGAAACATTATGGTTATGTATCGGTGTGAGACATGGCCTTCACCAAAAAATCAGGAATTCCTGGTAGAGAAAAGTGTTGAGAAGAATATGGGGCGGAGTCGCGGAAAACGAGATTTACAGAAAGAGAAGGTATGATAAATATATGATATTCTGGCATTGATTAAAAAAGCACGAATACGATAGATAGGACACATGGAAAGCATGTCCGACCTAAGAAAGCCCAAGAGGATGCTGTATGAGAAGCCGCACGGCAAAAGAAGTAGAGGTCCCTCTCGGGTCAGATTACTGAAGAATGTGAGGCGACTGGGTGTTCGAAGATGAAAGGAGGTAACACCGGACCGCGCAGATCGGTTGGCTGCAGTGGAGTTCTTGCAAGGCCGTGGAGTTCTGGAGGCCGTGGTAAGAAAGTTGTCATATTCCATTACTAAGGTCTTTCCATGTAAATTAAACATGTGGTGCCTTTGTAATAAATATATTGTTTAGTTAAAACTTATTTTCTGCCATTAATACCTCATTCTTCTAGCGGTCTCATATAATATATTGTCACTGCTATAATAAAAACATCATGGAGCTTCTTTATACAAAATAATTAAGACTAATCGGTTAAAAACTTGAAATTTTTGTTCGCTCCATATTTATCCATGATTTGACAGTGATTAGATTCAAAGGACTATTTCAAGAAAAAAAAATTGTATCATGAGAAATAATTATTTTTACTATTTTTTGTTGTTTTCTTAAAACATAAAAAAGCAACGATATTCCATTTACGTTGAGATATTCCACAATTACTGTGTCTGTTCCTCGGTCACATTTTCCTCCGATTTCTCCTTAAACGGTGATATAGTTCGCCGAGGGAACACTTCTTCCACTTCCTGTGGATCCAAACCTTTGTTCCAGTCCTGAATCGCGGTGGTGGCGAACATGATGTAAGGTATGGAGGAGGCGAACATGAAAGCGGTTGCGATCCAGAAGAACATACGCCACTCAAATATGGTCCCTCCCTTGAACATAGTAAACACCGCGATAAAGAAGAGAATAAGGACAGTTAGTTAATAGTTGTTATAGAGTTAGTAACTTACATCATCTATGATAGAGTGCACAATCAAGGGCACCGCGATCCCAGCCAGGCTGCCCGAAGCGTTCACGATCGACATGAGCAGTCCGCTGAAGTTGGGCGCCAAATCCATCACGCTGAGCCGAAGCCCGCTGTAGACCGCTCCCGCGTAGAACATGGTGAGGGCGAAGAGGAGGCAGACCACGACGTGAGAGCAGCTGGCCCAGGAGGCGAGGATCAAAAGCACGGCAGGGACCAAGGTGGCTGCGAAGGTATGCGATTGTAGTTAGGGGTGGTCAGGCAAGGAGGTGTAGATATCACCTGAGACAAACTGACTAACCTGATGAGAGAGATCGTCGCCATTATTGTAGTTAGGGGTGGTCAGGCAAGGAGGTGTAGATATCACCTGAGACAAATTGACCAACCTGATGAGAGAGATCGTCGCCATTATTGTAGTTAGGAGTGGTCAGGCAAGGAGGTGTAGATATCACCTGAGACAAACTGACCAACCTGATGAGAGAGATCGTCGCCATTATTGTAGTTAGGGGTGGTCAGGCAAGGAGGTGTAGATATCACCTGAGACAAACTGACTAACCTGATGAGAGAGATCGTCGCCATTATTGTAGTTAGGGGTGGTCAGGCAAGGAGTTGTAGATATCACCTGGGACAAACTGACTAACCTGATGAGAGAGATCGTCGCCATTATTGTAGTTAGGGGTGGTCAGGCAAGGAGGTATAGATATCACCTGAGACAAACTGACTAACCTGATGAGAGAGATCGTCGCCATTATTGTAGTTAGGGGTGGTCAGGCAAGGAGGTGTAGATATCACCTGAGACAAACTGACTAACCTGATGAGAGAGATCGTCGCCATTATTGTAGTTAGGGGTGGTCAGGCAAGGAGGTGTAGATATCACCTGAGACCAACTGACTAACCTGATAAGAGAGATCGTTGCCATCATTAGCCATACCTTAGTAAAGGGATGGTAATCGATATTTAACTTACGATATTAGATGTTTTACTATCGATATTATCGACTATCTATATCGATATATTTTAATTTGAAAATAAAAATTAAAAATATCGTTGGAAAAAAATAATACTTATCTTGCCTGTTTCATATAGAATGTAGTGTGTAGTAGAGAAAAAGATCAATATTTCGTTAATATCGATTAAAGATGGTCATCCTTAAGTAGCGTTGTTTAGCGCACCTGGAACTCTCGCACTTCACTCAGTAAACTCAGTTTGCCCGAATCCGTTAGTTAGAACCTTCTCAAACCAAGGCCACGCATTGTTAAAGAAATCTGTGTAAGAGGTGCATAAATTAGCATGTCGCTGAATCCGATCTATGAATGAATGGAAGGCATAATTGGTTGAATGGAAGGTATAATTGGTTGAATGGAAGGTATAATTGGTTGAATGTAAATGTCTGAAAATAAAAGGATGTCGAAGATGGACAGAAACCAGCAAATTAATTTTACTAAGGTGGGTAGAAGAATTGACATTTCTATTAATTAATTGTGAGAGGGAAATAACATCTATTTTGATGAGCCTCTGTTCTAGAGTGTCAATATTTATGTTGACATTTATATTTCGATTAAATATCTATAATATCGATGAAAATATTGACTATCGATATTTCAAGTCCAATATTTTGATGGGATCGATAGTTATTATCGATTAATTAATATCGATGGATTGGATATCCTATCCCAACCTTAGCAATCCTCGACCAGTCGCCGGGTTCACTGCTTGGTTAGTCCTGGAGCCAATGGCAAAAAAGGTGTCGTATTTCATACTGAGGTTTGTCCATATAAATTCACTATATCCACAGGCCTAATGGGAAAAATGCACGTCTGCCAGCATACAGCCGCTGAAATACAAAATGGCTGCCACGTGAAGAAGATACCCTACATAGATTGTAAGCGAATATATAGAGAGGGCTTAGAGATATATAAATTTCTAGCTACTAATCCTTTCAATTTATAGTATATACAGTCTTAAGATATGAAATAATAGTCAGTTACATCATACCCCTGGATTACAAGTCCAAAGATTGAATTTATTATTCAAGTTTACTTTTTCGCTTATATCAGTGTAACTATGAGTTCTATCTATAATAATTTCGTATGTGAAATTAAAGCTGACAAAATATGCAATTGAAATGATTATATTAGGTTTTACGCTATATTCTAAAGATTCCGTGTTATCCGTCCTCGTAATCCAATAATTTTCATCATTATTTGCCTCGCCAACTCTTTATCTTTTCATTTTACGAAAAAAATCATGAAGAAGAAAGTTGTTTTATATTAAATTTTCTTTAAGAATATATATTACTCCACTATCCTATCTTTAACGGAAATTAGAGCAATTGTAATTTAATGATTAAACTCCGAAACTGTACACAATAACTTACTTTTCGCAATTTTCGTTATTACATAGCTCTTAATCTCTATATAAGACAGTATATATTGTATATTAAATATACTTTGTTTTGGTGGTGGGATAATGTCTATAGTTTATAAGTGAACTATTAATGCTATTCAGATATGGAACTTTCTTTTTGAGATCTCGCTATTAAATACCATATTTCAGTTGAGTGTTTAAAAAATTGATGTCAATATTTATAAAAACATAATGAAAAGATAACAATATATTAATTCCAATGAACCAACAATATTGGTTCCTCTCTGTCTCCTACTCTGCTTACTATTTATATCGATGACCTTCCCCTCCTCATCCATCACTCCCAATACCATATCTATCAAAATTCCAAAAAACGCAAAGTATAGATTTTGTTTTTCGAATTGCCCCGTTGCAGCAACCGGAAAAAGCAGCTTGACCGCGATCTAGCCATTGTTCACGGGTGTTTGGATTTCGCCAGTAACCCCACTTTTTATCACAGGTGACAATCTCATGTCAGAAGATGTTTTCAATAAATTGCCACACATTTCTAACCTCTTTGCTGATTGCTGAGGAGTGAGTTCGAGATGGACCAGTCTACTGCTCTTTTCCAGATTCCAAATGGAGAGTAGATGGCGACTAACGGTACCTTTGGACACACCACACCCCCGTATCGTGGATTGATTTGACTCAATAGCTCTCTGCAGAACCTCATCAATATCCATTGATGGTCGCCTAGAGCCCTTTTCTCTTTCCAACGTCCTATCTCCATTGATAAACGTCGCGCAATGCGCTGGTCAAGGACACCTTTCACTTCATATTTAATAATTTCACCAGTTGCTTCAGTCGCTGTGAAATGTTTTTTCAATAATGCCTTAAAATTACGAGTATTTCGTAGGACACTGTCATGTATCTTGTTTGAAACAAATAATTAAACTGAAGTTTTTTTTTGATGAAGTGGAATGAGATAAAATAAGGTTAGGGAATGCTCTAATAAAGAAATTATTAAGTTTTGGTAAGTATTAAATTGGATTAACATTTTTACAGTCCTTTGAAATCTTTAGTTTGATAAAATGGTCATTTTTTATATATATATATATATATATATATATATATATATATATATATATATATATATATATAAAATATAAAGCTAATTACAGCATTACTAAGAATGACCAAGATACTCACATATGATGGCCATCGACTTCCTCATGTCTATCTTGCGGATGATGCCCTCACTGATGAGGAACTGAGACACCATCCCGAAGACCACGGCTCCGATCCACATCGAGATCCAAGGCAGTGACGCGACGGCTCCGATCTAAGTAACAAAAAAATACTGCGCTACGTTTTGTGTTTTAGTCCACGCGATAGAAGTGAAAACATCAAGGCAGAATTAATTATATGAAATATAATTTTTTTTCACAAACTTATAACATTTAAAATTTATATAATTATAGTTATGTATAATGTTTTCTATAAGCCAGAATTGAGAGAGAACAGGATTCTCCGTAAGATAACAGGACCTATTTGGGATCAGAACCTTGACACATGGAGGAGTAGGAACAATAAAGAACTGCTGAAAGAAATGGGTCAGTTAATATCTCATGACATCAAGGCAAAGAGGTTAAGATGGGCGGGGCATGTAGCTCGTAGCAATCCATCAGGATGCCTTAATACGACAATGAACGCCAGAGTAGTAGGCAAAGTGGAAGGCCAAAACTAGATGGATGGAGAGGATAAACAAAGATACGGCAGAGCTTCATGCCGCAAACTGGGGCTGGTTCAAGCGGCCAAAGATCTACAAGGTCTGTAGAGCAAAAAAAAAATGTTATGTATAATGTCTACTTTTTTTCTATATTTACAAAATAATAACATTTAAAATATATACAATTATAATTGTGTATAAATTACTGTAGTCAACTTGTGGTCTGACTTATCGTAATTTTTATCATACTCTCTCTTTTTTTTTTTCAACTTATTTATTGAAAAATATTACAATCTGTCTCAAGGACATTTATAATAGTTTTCGCAGATCACATTCACACTGTATGTACAATAAATAAAATAAATTATACAGAAAAATAATATATATACAAAAACCTGTACCACTACAACCCATAAAGGGTCTGGGGTTCAGTACTATTTAGGGAAAGCACTGTTTCTGGGTCAACGGTTATGCAAGGAGGTGATTTGACCGAGATCACGCTCAACCGCCAGGTTTCCCCCCTTAAATACTTATATAATTTAGGGTACCCACTTTATAGAGGCTGGGTGTCCCCAGGAGGGTCTAATGACCCAGGGTCGCCTCACGACCAATGAAACAGATAAATAAATTTTCTGCCATGAGCCGGGGTTCGAACCTAGGACCTTTGCATTAGAAGCTCAGTGCCCTACCACTGAGCTACCCCATATATACAATAAATAAGAATAAAATAACCTAAAAATAAATAAATAAAAAGAACACATACATACCTATATACAATATTTACAATTTGGCGAGAGAACTCCAAACCAGACTTGTCCCTACAACTGTGGAGGGAAAAGCATGACTCCAGCATCTCTCTCAACCGCGTCACTGGGGCTAAACCCAGTGGAGATTGAGCGAGGTGCTTTAGTCACATACACTCATGACGTGAGTGGAGAATCATACTCTAAAAATTTTTATGATAACTGAAATTCGTCATTTTTACTTTCACTTACCTATATATGAAATATATGGTATGGAACAGTATTGCGATCGTAAAATTTTTCGAAACAATGAAATGTAAATAAATATAGGGTCTATAATTTTTACTTTCACTTCTCCTTTGTCTGAAAATACCTAATTATTTCTGATAAGTAGAGGGTGGTAAGTGAAAAACGTGTGATGCGTGCACCAGATTTTGTAAATATAACTTCTGTCGGGCATCAGTAATTTGTCGAAACTCTATTTTCTGAGTGCAACAGAAAATTGAATAGAAACACAACTTCTTGTTTCTGAATTCTTCATGGTATTAAAATTTTGAGATATTTAAGTCAAAATGTTCAAAACGGTCCTTCTTATTATTTATTTTTATTTTTTATTTTTGGCGTTATCCTTTTCCCTTTCCGCCTCTCTAACTCGGCGTTACGTCAAAAAACAATTTTAGATATAGCTCATTATAAACAGGATGAAATGCTGGACATTTCCCTTGTTCACATTATGCAAGTTCAAATTTTAGTTTCTGAGAGATTTTAATCCAAGCAAAAATACTTTAATTAGTCGATTCGAGCCGACTTTACCCGAATGAGCGTTACACAACCGAACCTGACGGCTCAGTTTCATTGAATCTCCAAAAAAAAAAAGTGCAAAGAAGTTTTCGCTTCAAAAAGTGAAATTTTTCAATTGATTTTTGTTCCAATTATTTTACTAGTGAAAACACATCCAATAACTACTTCGTCAAAAATGCTGTGTGGAATGGTATAAAACCCACCAATGTGGTATTTTATTTTGATTAATTTTATTCTCAAACGAAAAATCTTAGAACTTCAAGTAAATGAATTTATGTGACACAATACTGACCTAAGAATTGGCAGACTTTTTGTTATATTTTGCAAAAAAAAATATTTAATTTATTATTGAAGAAATTATAGTTGTAATTTCGGAGAAACTACAAGCTATTATGTATACATTGAAATTGACGCAAGCTGTTTCACAATTTGGTCCAACAAACGGAGGTGACGAAGTAGCTATTGCGGTAGCAAACAGACAACAATGAGAACTCTTGCGAAGTTCAGTTCAACCTGGAAGTAGGTAGATTCATCTCGTCGAGGAATCTATATATATATATATATTGAAATATTAATGGATTCCTCGACGAGATGAATCTACCTCTCTCTCTCTCTCTCTCTCTCTCTCTCTCTCTATATATATATATATATATATATATATATATATATATATATATAGTAGCTTAATATATGTGCTAGTGGACGGTGCTGAGACTGTCGGTGTGTCCCTGGCCTGATCGAAGCTCTATTTTTTTAAATTCTAGCTTTGAAGAGGATCCCATCGTTGACTTATAAAAAGAAAATACCGGGATCGAAACGTCAATAAATATAGAGGAAATGAACATTCAATAGTTTATTAAATAATTGATAAGTGACCTTATTCCCAATTAAATAGTTAAGTTTAAATTTAATACTCAAAGGTCGATTAAGGAAAAGTTGTAAATATATATATATATATATATATATATATATATATATATATATATATAAATAATAAATAGAAAACTATTTTTTCTCGTGATGGTATTTTTGTTCTTATTTTTACTTTAGCTTACCTAAACATGAAATATGCAGGGTGTCCCGTAACTCGAGGGAAATATTTAAAAGATTGATAGAAGCAGGGGTGCCCAGAAGGAGGTTTGCACTATCAAAATTAATGAGAGGGGCACATTTTGACGGGGTTTCAATTTTTGAGGAAGACGTATTTCAACGGGGTTATGGATGTTCAAAATGAAAAGGTTCAAATCGAAAGACAGACCACAGAATGTGAAATGATATATATTCAAATTCTTCTTTCGTTTGCACTGTTTTTTAGAAGAAGAAGGAATAAAATTTCTTGGGATAGGTGTGGGAAGGTTTATGCGGCATTAGGTTTAGAGGGAAGGGAGAGGGTGGGAGGGGGGTCACTCCTGGATAGAACACATCAAGATCGAAGATAGAAAAAAGTTAATTTAAGTAATTGCCCAATTTCCAGCAGAAAATTCGAGATTTTTGTTTTTTAAAGGAGTCAGGTTTTTTTTACTTTCACTTACGTATATATATGTAATATACAGTAAGAGTAAGTATTGCGATCGTGAAAATTTTTGAATCTCAGTTTTCAATGAAAATACATGTTTTGATCCCCTGGGTCCAAATAACAAAGTGTCGCAAAATGGTCTGTGTGTGTGTGTCTGTGTTTGTGTGTTAACACTCTAGCTCATAAACGAAAAGTAGTACGAAACTGATATTAAGTATTTAAGGTTTGTGTATGGGCCGGATGTGACAGCAACTTTTTCGTTTAAATGGTCTAACCATTTATATCGTCTTTATATGAACGCTGAAACACATTTTTACAATTTTCTCAAAAACGACTCTAACGTTTTTGATCAAACTCGGTGTATCATTGTATAATTAAGTGATCTTTAATATCATTTAAGTCTTATCCCCGTTGATGTCACCTTACAGGGCTTAAATGCCCAACGTTCATATATGTCTTCCTCTAAAGTACCTTTAATATGGTTTATTTTAAAAAGTTAATCATTTCGCATTATTCAGAGTTACGAAAAAATGCGTTAAAATCGGACAATTAGGGGGAAAGATATGGTCTCTAGTTTTTTTCCTTGTAGAGGCGAAAATTTGGATAAATTTAAAATATACTTTTTTTAATTGTTGAGACTAAAAAAACCTTTTTTCTACAGATATTTAATAAAGTATCTTTCCCAAAGAACATTTTTCATAAGAAATAAGTATCTAAATTTATACCTTTATACGTGTTTTTGCATATAGATTAAAATATCTCAAAAATTAAAAATGAGACCTGCATATTGTTAGCGAGGGAAATGTTCATACTCTTTGTAATGTGCTATTATTAATTATTGTAATAAATAAATTGAACTATTCTTTGGTTTTAATGAACCAAATTTTCAATCAAGAAACTTTTCCGCACCTCTCTCCCAGGATCAATGGTGTCCGACTTTACAATGTTAAAATGTCCTCACCTTAATTTAATAATAATAATGATAATAAAAGGCTTAGGGAACCCGAAGGTTCGATGCCGACACCACCAATCGCTTGTTACACACCTCCCTCCACCGTTCGCCGTCCAAACCCAGTCCCTTCAGATCGGCTTTAGTGCAATCTTCCCCCCTTCGCTTCGGTCTACCCCTCGGACGCTTACCATTCGGCACAGCAAATATTAACCTTTTAGGAATTCTATCATTACTAAGACCAACAACTTCACAAGCCCATTTGATTCGCCGCGATGAAATTACCTCAATTATATTACCCGGATACAGTTCACGCAATTCGGCGTTGTGTGACCGTCTGAACTCTCCGGTTAACTCATCCTTCTTCGGTCCGAATATTCTACGCAACACTTTATTTTCAAAAACCTTAAGACGCTGCTCATCCCTTAATGTAAGTGGCCAAGTTTCGCACCCATAAAGAACTGTAGGTAAGATAATGGTTTTATAGATACTAATTTTTAAGTCCCGGACAAGAGAAGCGAACTAAGTAGTTTCACCTTAATGTAATACAAACAGAAAATAAATTGCGATATCAAAGTTCATACTTTAAGAGCAAAAATAACGTTATCATACATAATATAATATGTGACCGAAATTTTTAAATGGCACATACGTAATTACTACACTTCAACAGTGAATATCTGGACATCTTCAGTCGATTTTCATCTGTTTTTTGAGATAATCAAATTAAATTATTGCTGGTTAACTTGTATAATTAAATATTAAAGATTTACCTTCATGATGGGAAGATGTAGGACATGAAATAGGTAGAACGGAAGTTCGAGGCTCACGATGTAGAAGCCCCAATCAAATCCGAAGTTGGCCCACACTATTACTCTGAACTTCATCGACCGGAAAATCTGTTTCCAAGGAATTTTTCCGTGTGTCTAAAACCAGACGATATTATTGTGAGCACCTAACATGTTTAAATAAATAGTAAAAGTTAAATTGTATAATCAGAATAAGAGGAAGTGGTGCTTTTTCAAGTGAAAACTTCTTTAGGATGTGTTTTTGCATATGGATTAAAATATCTAAAAAATAAAAATAAGATCTGCGTATTGTTAGCGAGGGAAATGTTGAGCATTCCATCCGATTTGTAATGTGCTATTATTCAAAATTGTATTTAAGAGCGACGCTGGTCAGTGGTCGAAAAGGCATAAAACTGAAAAAACCCTGAGAAACTTTCAATTTAAGCAAGATATTTGAAAAACTGAAATTACTATAACAAGTAGGGCATCTTGAATTAATATACAATACAACTTTTTTGGTATAACTAACCGTTATTATTATTGTCAATTTTTTTTTCAATTATAAATAAAATATATTTTGCATGTAATATGTTGTAAAAGTGAACAGATAATTACCAAAATCTCAAATTCTCGCAGCTGATTTTTGTATTAATCATTATCAGAAGGCTCAAAAAACATTTTGATTACAGTAAAAGCTTAGCGATGGCTGGCGCGAGGTACTTTCCTATGGAAAAAGGAAATTCCAGGATCCGTTGAGGAACATTATTTGCACTAGTGAGGAGGTAAACATACTAAAAGTCCCCACTCCTAGGTGGTGATTCAAGTGTGGAGGGGGGCGCCATGAAGGTCAATTTTTTCGAGTTTCCGCTTATATCAGGAAAGCAATCCTTCGCATCGACAAACACTTTATATTCAAGATTAAAGCTGATTAAACTTGCAATATGATTGATGATTAACGTTTTTTCGCTACCTCATTTAGTTTCCGAGATATCCGTCCTCAACTATCGCTAATTTGAAAAAAAATTGTGTGCCTTAAATAATTTTTATAATATTCGTTTTTATATATCTGTATATATATATATATATATATATATATATATATATATATATATATATATATATATATATGAGTATGTACGTAAAAGTTTTGATGAATTGAGAGTTAGAGCAATACAATGATGTATATTATAAAAAAAAATTTTCTGCTAATTCTCGAAATTGACATATTAAGTTGTAGTTGTCATAATTTAACTTTTGAACCGTTGAAGATAAAGTAGTAAAATAATATATATTCATGAAGAAGATTTAATTGTTAAAAGCTTTCTTCAACCGCTTTAATCGCAAAAAGAAGCAATCGGTTAGAAACTGGAAATAGTTGAGGACGGATATCTCGGAAACCAAGCGATTTAACGAAAAAAGCTATTTGATCAATCGTATTGCAAATGTCATCAGTATTAATTTTGTATAGATCGTTTTTGTCGATACGATGGATATTTTCCCGATAAAAGCTAAAATCCGAAAAAAAAGTGACCTAGGCGCCCCTCTCTACACATCTGGCTCACCAAGTAGTAGTGGGGACTTTAACTATGTTTACCTCCTTACTAACCCAAACAATTTCTCAATATCAAAAATTGTGTCCTCACCATTTCCTTCTATGATGATTCGTTGACTGAATTATAAGTAATTTTGCACTAAAATGGCAAGATGGAATTAAAGGTGAAAGCCAAGGAGAGACTTACGAAAGGGGAAGTGTACTGAATACTGTACTCGATGTAGGTTCTCTCGGCGGCGCTGATGTACCTGTGGGTCGTCGGAGAGGAGAAGGCGAACACCTCCCAGATGATGAAGCACAGGACTCCCAGGAAGCCGTAGATGTAGAAGACCCAGTGCCAAGAGTTGGTGTAGATGATGGTGCCGGCCAAGAGGTTGCCCAAGAAGGACCCCATGGGGACTCCTGGCAGCAATATCAACATCTAAGCTCATAAGATGTCTAAAATTTTTATTTTGTATTAGGAGAGTTGGAAGTTACAGCAGCTCAACACAAATGTGATTAAATAAACAACTGTTTAATTTGTAAAATAATCGCAATCAAAGTTGAGCTCCTGGTATCTCCTACTCTCCTAGTACTAAAATAAAATAAAATACGAGTCACTAAAAACTTTTATGTAATAGAGAGAAAATAAAGGTTACCTGAGTTAGCGACTGCGCTGTGGATCGGCCGCTCGTGTGAAGGGGACCACTTGGAGAGGAGGGCTGCGCCAGCCGGGAACATGGGGCCCTCAAAGCAAGTATTGATAAGAGATAAGTATTGATAAGAGATAATTATTGTAACCAAGATTAAGAAAGCACTGGAAACAAAACAATCTCTTCTCTCTTTTGTTTCCTAAGGAGATGACTAATTGATATTTTAGCATGTGCATGTGTTCTTACATCTTATATCTCTTGTGTCTTGACTATCTTTTCTTGATGTTTAGATGTGGCATGCCATACTATTGTATATAGAATAAATATCTTTTTTGTTATTCTTATTATCTTGAATATCTTCCTATTTATCTTTAATTGTATATAGTAATTATGTTTGAATTCCCTCTTTTTCCTTGTATTTTATTTCTTTAATTAATTGTACATAGTATTAATTCTGTAAATATTTCTTTTTGTAAATAGATCTGTTAACCTTTTTTGCTGCTTTATAATCAAATATCCAACCTAACCCTTCTCACCTGAACTAGCATGGTAGAATAAATGATTAATCATGGCCAAATAATGAGTAAGTAACTTATATTCTCTATAATTATCTCTTTAGAGATGAAAGGCTAGTAAAGCCAGGCGCCCAACAAATAAAAATACCTATGGAAAATTACATTTATTAAAAATTATTTTCTTAACTTTTATTATCCTTTTTAATTTATTATCCTTTTTATTTTATCCTTTTTTTTTGTCATAGTATTGATATCAATAAGTATTGATAAGAGATAAGTATTGATAAGAGATAATTATTGATATCAATAAGTATTGATAAGAGATAAGTATTGATATCAATACAACTCAAAGCTTATAGATTCTTAAAGCAAGTATTGATATCAATACAACTCAAAGCTTATAGTATTTGTATTTGTATTCGTATAATACATTTATTCAGTGAACAAATGACGAAATAAAATAATGCTACGTATCATAAGATGGGGAGGGAGGAAATTAATTAATGCGCCACTAGCTGACATGCTTAAGAAAATTTCTTTAAACGTTTACTTGAAAAAACTTAAATATTGATTAGTTATTTGGCAATAATTACTTCCAATTAGCAACAATTGAATATATTTCTTGTATTATCAACGTTACATGTTAACAAGTTTACGTTTCGGGATATTTACTACCATCTTCAGTACTACAATCCCAATGATCTTGTGGATGCAAGGCTAAAAAATTTTTTGAGTCAAAATATAGTGCATGTTACATTACATGTTGGAATTTTGTTGTTACAATAAATTTGTAATTACCTTAAAAATAATTATTATTATTTTATAAATAATAATAATAATTTTTATTATTACTATTTTGGAGCACATTATTATTATTTTTAAGGTAATTACAAATTTATTGTAACAACAAAATTCTAACATGTAATGTAACATGCACTATAGTTTGACTCAAAAAATTTTTTAGCCTTGCATCCACAAATTCGTTGGGATTGTAGTTCTGAAGAAGATACAAGAAATATATTCAATTGTTGCTAATTGGAAGTAATTATTGCCAAATAACTAAGAATATTACACAACTTCCCAGAAAAAAGAAGATTAAATATTGATGTTACTATATTTTTCATGGATTCATCTTATAGAATTATTTCTCACCTTATCAAGACATATTTCAAATTAATGAAACATTCATCTAACTTAAAAAAAAAATGAAAATTAAGATAATAGTTTTGTTGTACCAGTAGTTTGTTGACACTGTTTGATTTGGAATGTTCCTATAGCCGACAGGACGAGAACAAGCATATAATTAATCTAAATTTCATATTCTTCATTTTAAGATTAACAAAAATTTCCTTTAACTTATTATAAAATTAGCTTCATGTGTTTTCCGACTTATATTTATCAATAAATTATGGTCACTGCCAAGAACCTGTTTTTGGCTATAGGAAAACCTTTTTTTTGTTTGATATTTAATCAAACCCCCATACCAGACTGAAACGACTAGAAACCGCCTGACGTTTCCGAATATTCCAGCACTCACTATACAAACGCTCTAAGCTTTCCATCAATTACAAACGACTCATATATATGACAATAATAAGACCTAATTGGACTTACGGAATTGAGCTATGGGGCTCCACTAAACCTCCGAATTCCTCTCGTATCCAATCCTTAAAATCCAAAATCCTTCGTAAAATCATCAATACTCCTTAGTTTGTCACAAATAAAATCATCCATAAAGACCTTAATGTTCCATATGTTTCCGATTAAGCTCAATCCAGATACATATCCTTCCATAATAAACTTCATAACCATCCGAATCCTCTCGTTTCAAACCTTGCTTCCTCCTCGATCCCTGATAACCCTCCGAGGCGTCTGAAAAGAAGATGGCCTCGGGACCTTCTAATATAGAACTTTAATTTGAGTTCTACCAATGGGTAGTTTCTCTTCATGTTGTACATGTCATGTTACCAATGTCACATTTACTTGTTGTATTTTCTATGTAATACAGTTGTAAATTTCATTAAAATAAAAATATTTAATCAAAATCATTATCATTTTTTTTAACGAGACAGTAGTGGATTGTCCCATTTTTAAGACCCGTTGTATTGAGTAAATCTCTTTGAATTTATGAGAGTACAGGCCTGCCAGCTACTGGCCTCCATAATAATGCTTAACTAACTGACACCCATTAAATCTCAAATTCTTTCATCAATATAAGTTAGAAACAGATAAAACATAATTTTAAAGCAATCAAACAAAATTTTGGGATAAATCGGAGTAGTTAAAGCAAGAAAGTGAAAGCTAAGGGCTGATGGGTCAGAATACAACTGACAGATAGTTGTACCTGGGACACTAAGTGGACCGCAAGGGACCTTCCTAATTTGCCACTCATTATTACAGTTGCGATTTTCAAGATAAAAGCAGATAAATATACAAGGAGAAAATATAGAAACTAAAAATATATGAAATAGAGTTCTAGGAGGCCCTGAAATATTATTATTCCCGTTTTTCGAGGAGGATGTAAGGTATTGGTATACAGTCAGTCTATTGGTGCTTACTTCCCTAATGAAAATGATTTCAAAACTTCATTCATGTTTTAACCAACATGCTTACGAACTACAATAAGCTTTATGTTTGCTAACAATGCTCTGAAAGCAATTTTTTTGGTAATTTAGAAATCTTTCATATATAATCATGGGTTCTATCACAATAAAATGCGTAGTTTTTTCAGTTATTCGCAAAAAAAGTATTCTGTTCTTATATCAACAAAATCCACTGAATACTCACTAATATCACCAGTATCCACTAAATACTCACTAATATCACCAGTATCCACTAAACACTCACCTGGAAAAATCCCATGAGAAACCTGACCAGCATGACCATGTATGGACCGAGCTCGATGGCAGCAACGGGCGTGAGGAAGGAGCAGACGCTGGTGACCAGCAGGGAAGCTATACCAACAGATAATGGCTGATAGAATATTTCAGAAACTAAAATTATAAATACAAATATATGGTTAGCTGCAAAAATGGCGAGACTACTGGTGATATCGATATAGATGGTAATATGTTTGAACAGGTAGATAAATTTATGTATCTAGGTTCTACGATAATTAGAAAAAACGAAATTGAAAAAGAGATTAAGGTTAGACTGAAGGCGGGAAATGCTTGTTATTTTTCTATGAAAAAATTACTTAGCTCGCTCATCTTGTCCCGGAATTCAAAGACTAGAATCTATGAAACCATTATCCTACCTACAGTTCTTTATGACATGCGAAACGTGGCCGCTTACATTAAGGGATGAGCGTCTTAAGGTTTTTGAAAAAAAAGTATTGCGTAGAATATTCGGACCGAAGAAGGATGAGTTAACCGAAGAGTTCAGACGGTCACATAACGCCGAATTGCGTGAACTGTATCCGGGTAATATAATTGAAGTAATTTCATCGCGGCGAATCAAATGGTCTTGTAAAGTTGTTGGGCATAGTAACGAGAGAATTCCTGAAAGGTTAATATTTGCTGGGCCGAATGGTAAGCGTCCGAGGGGTAGACCGAAGCGAAGGTGGGAAGATTGCATTAAAGCCGATCTGAAGGGACTGGGTTTGGACGGCGAACGGTGGAGGGAGGTGTGTTATAAGCGATTGTTGGTGTCGGCATCGAAACTTCGAGTTCGCTAAGCCTTTTATTATTAAAATTATAAATAAATAATAATATCTCATTTAGTTGATGGGTCTCCAAAAGCCTTCCTTAGGACAGAGGGCCTCCCTTAAGACTGAGGTTGGCCAATCCTAAAAAATATCGATACATTTTAATTAAGATAGATTTTTATTTTCTAAAAGTAATTTAGAAGCATTCTATTATTATTTTATATAAACTCTAAAAAACATATTTTTAATTCATCTAATGATCTTAATTTAATAAATCTATCAGGTATTATTATTTAAAATTCTCTAAAATATAAAACGATTTTTTTTTTTAAATTGGTGGGTTGTATTAGATGTATCCACAGGCTATAGTTTGGAGATCTCTGATTTAGTATTAAATAAAACAATCTACATTGAAATATAAAAAACATAATCGAAATTTTTTAAATTTAATTTGACTTTATCACTAGGTAGAATCGATTCTTGGAAATTCTATAGCACTAATCAGGTGTAACCAAAAGATATTTAATTACCATGGTAATAGTCACCTACCCCAGTCCTTATATCTAATACTCCGATCCTACCTCTCTGACCGCTCCTTTCGAGTTCGTTGTGGTACACAATTCTCCATCTGCCATTCAATTGAGGCGGGAGTTCCTCAAGGCAGCGTCTTGGGTCCCGTCCTCTACATTCTCTTTACCGCTGATATTCCTACTCACCCTGAAAACGTCCTGGCAACATTCGCTGAAGACACAGCTATCCTATCTTCCAATCCAGATCCTAAAACAGCATCCTCCTACAAAGTCACCTTTCTCTTATTGAACATTGGTGTAATGAGTGGCGCATCCAAGTAAATAAATCCAAATTCAAACATATTACTTTTACCCTTCGGCGCAAGTCCTGTCCACCAGTCTACTTCAACTCCATACCACTTCCTCTCTCAGACACAGTCCGGTATCTTGGCTTTCTTCTAGATAAAAGACAACAACTAAACATACGATTCGGACAACTATATAGACTAATGAATTGAAAATCTCAACTTTCAGTCAACAACAAACTACTAATCTACAAGACAATCCTGAAACCTATCTGGACCTACGAACTAGAACTGCGGGGGACAACAAAACCTTCTAACATTAAGCGCATTCAATAATTTCAGTCTGAAGTCCTCCGAACAATAGTCGATGCTCTCTTCTATGTATCCAACAAAACCCTCCATAATGACCTTCATATCCCATTTGTTATTGACCTAATCCCAGACAAATTTGACCAGAAACTCACTCATCATCCAAATAGTAAGTAATATTTAAATTTTATTTATTCAAATATCTAAATTAGTATACTTACTAAAGATGTTTTATTGATATTTACAGCTGTATATATATACATATATACAAGAAGTAAATCTGCTAAAAGAATATACAACGTAATAAGTACTTGTGAAGAAGCTTGGTTACATTTTATTTTATTATTGCATACATCGGTTACTCTTCAAAGAATGGATTAATTTTGAAGGTCGCTTGCCCATTTTCTTTTCAGAAGCCTTGGAGGATGATTCAGGAATTGTATTGGATCAAAAGTTACCAACTACAGGATTGGGGTGACCAAAGAGTTTGGAATTAAAATAGAAGTATCTTATTCGGGACAAGTCTTCAACAACGGAGAATTTCGGATTGTAATGATCCGATGTGGTAAGAATTCCATGTTTTATTTAAAGATGAATTTTAACGATTTAAAAAAAAAATTAAGTATGATAAATAGCCACGATTCTCAGTCAAAATGTGTTTATTTTAGTTGCCGATGTTTTGACACAAACATGTAGGAAATCATCAGGGTTAAAAATCCGGAATCATATTAGAAATATTATATCCTTTCTAAATTAGTAATTTATGAGCTTATATTTTGTTTCAACACCTATAAGACACAACACGTATAAGACACACACGTATAAGACAAAATATATGATTTTTTTTTTGTTATCTATTTTTTTTATTGAACAGTAAATAGTACAATCTGCCAAATTGAAGGGCAATAAGTTACAAGGCTTAATGTGAACTATATGATTAGCGACAAAAATGGCGCTTACTCCGGTAGTATGGGTATAGAAGGTAATAATTTGAACACGTAGAGAAGTTTAGGTGTCTAGTGTTTACGATAACTAGGAAAAATGAAATTGAAGAGGAAATCAAGGTTTAGTTTAATAGCGGAAAATGCTTTTTATTTTTCTGTGACAAAATTACTTATAATTATTTATAAAACCATTATCCTACCTACGGTTCTTTATGAATGCGAAACATGGCCACTAGCATCAAGGGATGAGCAACGTGTTAAGGTTTTTGAAAATAAAGTATTGCGTTGAATATTTGGATCGTAGAAGTTAACCGGAAATTTCAGACGGTTACACAACGCCGAATTGCGTGAATTGTATCCGGTTAATATAATTGAGGAGATTAAATCGCGGTCAATTAAGCGGGCTTGTAAAATTGTTGGATTTAATACCGAAAGAATTCCTGAAATGTTAACATTTGCTGTACCGAATGGTAAACGTCCGAGGGGTTGACCGAAGCGAAGGTGAGAAGATTGCGTTAAGGCCGATCTGAAGGGACTGGTTGGCATCGAACCTTCGGATTCGCTAAGCCTTTTATTTTTATTATTATATTTTGTTAAGAATTTTATTTAAATTTAATTAATGTCAATAATACGAGCTAATGGACGGTGGAAGCGAAGGTCGGGAGGATGTTTTCTCATAATTTATTTATAAGAAAGCAAGTTAGTAAGGAAGAAATGTAATAATTGTTTTTTTAGCAATTTAAGTTTATTTTTTAAAGGGTATATTAATTTTACTTTGGCAAGTTTTAAAGAAAAGAATTATAAAATATATGTTGTTATAACATTGTTTTAAAATAATAACCATATTTAAGGTTGATAATATTTTTATAATTAGTTCTGATAAATGAGCCATGTGAATGAGCAATTCTAATTATTTGAAAATAAATTATCTAAAAAGTGCCATAGTGAATAATGAAGATAGGAATCTTTGAATTTTAACTAGGGAATGTTAATATGTAATATATATTATTATTATATAATATATCTATCATATTATGACATTTCTAAAATGCAAAATAGCTCTCATTTTTGCGACGCAATGCCACTTTTTTTAGCTTTAGGTTAACTTTTTTACTAATTTTAACTTAGCATAAAATTTTAGAGTTGAAATGGCCAGGTGTGAAATAACTGGCGGTGCTTTCAGGGTTAAGGACAGCAGGTACTTTCTAACCAGTGGCGTAACTAGACCAATTTAAATCTTAATCAATGTAAAAATTTGATAAATATTTGTTTGTAACGATGAATTGTGTACCATTTTTTGAAAAATTAAGAACAATTCACGGATGAGAATTAAATGGTATGTGTAAAAAAAAAAAAGTTTTCAAAATAAAGTCATGTATAATAATTTCATACTGAATTTTATATTGAACTCCTGAATCCTGTTTCTTTTAAAAGTATTAAAAACAAAATGAAAATATTATTCCGCTCACATAAAGTCTAACTTTGACATTTTATGAAATTTACAATATTATCAAATTAAAAAAATCATTACATTTTCGACAAACTATTTTTTTCACTTGAATGGACTAAATTTGAAATTAACGAACTTAATCAAGATTTAAAAATTCAAAATTATAACATCTTATTTACCTTCAAAAATATTGAGCCGTTTAACGTGACCTACACAATGAAAATTTCAAAATAACGACGTTATATTCGACAAACGGCACAATATTTTTGTAGGCCACATTTTTTATCAATTTAGTGATGAAATTATCTTATGATTCAACTAGAAAGCAAAAGGGTGTTTACGAGTTTTTAGTACCTAATTAAATATACTTATTATTTTGTTCTATTTATTTTATCTTTTTGTACATATAGTGTGAATGTCATCCTACCTCACTATAACCAATGTCCAAGAGACAGATTGTTATAATACTAGAAAATTAGCCTAAAGAGCTAAAAAAAATTAAAGATGCACTTAAAGATCAAATGTAATGTTTTATTATTAAGAAAATAAATATTATTGAAATTGAAATATAATTTAACAATACTGAACTGAGATTTACAAAAAAAGTGATTATCGTGTTAATGTTATTTAATTATGTAAATAAAGCTGTCGTAAATAATGAAAAAAAAAATTAAATATACGAAGTTTTTCTCCCTCCAGATTGAAAACGCCCCCAATTCCAAGAGTTTGGAAATAAAATAAAATAAAATAGTTGTAGGTTACGATGAGATGAAACTATTTAAAAAGTTTCA